GGGGGGAGGTAGGTTGGGTCTCAAGGGATCTTAACAAAAGGGAGGGAAGAGAGATATTGATTGGGAAGAAGCTGAGATCTGGCTTGAAGGTGAAAACTGGGAACAACAGCGAAGATTACGGCGGGAAGCACGGGGAGGTGGCGAAGGAGAGCGGGTGGGAGAAGGGGGGAGCAGGGAGGAAGGGGCACGGGGAGAGGAATATATGAACCCCCTAGGAACTCGACGGTGAGGAAAGTTAGTAAACATGAATGCAACACCTAAAACCCCATACGTATCAAAAACCCCGTACCACGAACCCCTCACGACCCCCCACCCTCCCTCTCATCAGAACACAGAAACAAGCCCATACTACATGGCCAAGCCAAATTCCAGCAACCCTGGACTGAGCGTGTTCAACTACGCCAACTGGTAAAACCCGGCCCGGCCCTGTCGGTTTGAGAGCGAGTTGCGATCGATGCAGCGCACCATGCACCCATTCTCGCACTCTCTGTGCTCGGTTCATATCCCACAGTGGGGACTGCTCTCCGCTTTACCTAAGCATCAGCTTCGCAAATACGGGAACCTGCTTGTTGAAGGTGGGTTTTTATAGGACAATTCGCGGAGGCAGTGAAGGCGAATAGAACGAGGACCTGCAGGAGAGGGATGGTAATTTAGGCTGCAGCAAGTCGTAACAGAGGGAGGGGAGCTGGGATATTGATTTTAAAGGAGCGCTGAGACTTTGCCCTGCAGGTAAGAATTGGAGGATCGGTACGTATTATGGCTGGGAAAGGAGTTACATGAGCTTAAACTACTTGGCAAGAAACTAGGCGCTGAGTAAAAGCCACTGAATTTGTGCCTATACTCCAAAATCTCGCTGGAACCATAAACCAGGAACTCGTGTATCATTAGGTTTTCGTAACTCTCACCCAAATCAGTGCATTTTGCTTGGCTGAATCGAGCTTCGGTAAAAAGAATAACGAGATTTCGTAAAACTGCCTATTTTTATGCAAAAAAAGGAAAAATTCATAGCTTTATCGATCAATTAGTGAAATATGATCACCGGTTTGCGAGAGAGAGAGAGAGATGAATGTAATATTGAGGTAGGCGACAAAGCAAGTGACAGAAATCAATCCCGTACAAAAAAAGTGAGGTTATCACGAAGAGCTAGATGTCTTTTTCGAAACTTTGTTTTAGGGGAAAAAAAGAAGTGTTTCTTCAAGTTTCGGTTCTCTCGGTGGAGAGAACAAGGGGGAGAAGTTTGTATACGAAGATTTATGATAAAATTTCAATTTCGTTCTGGATTATGGGTCACGATTTTTTTTTTTTTGAATCTCGCTGTCCCCTTATTTCTTAAAAATTGGTTTCAATAAAGCTCGAAGAAATACTAAATTCGGTTTCAAAAAAAATCCTGAGCATTAAATTTCTTTTTCTTAAAAATTTGTCCCAATAAATCTCGAAGGAGTGAAATTTTCGAGTATTACATTTTTTTTTCCTTAAAAATTTGTTCCAATAAAGCTCGAATAAACGAAATCCCTGAGTATTAAATTTTTTTTCTCAAAAATTTAGTTTCAGTAAAGCTTGAAAAAGTGAAATTCCTCAGTATTTTTTAGTACACTGGAATAACTTAACATACATTTTTTTAAGTCACAATTTTTTACCGCTCTGAGGGACTTTCCCTATGTTTTTCCGAGTAATCGAAATATAGTCCTCGGACCAAAATCAGCCTCTGTGGATATGTCATTAATCCCGAAACTAACTTTCATCAATCAGTGTTCTCTAACAAAAGCGGAAAATATAATCTTCAGACCAAAAACAGCTTCTCCGGATATGTCATTTATCCCGAAAATCCTCATTTTTACGTTGAAAATCAACTTTCATCGATCTGTGAGTTCTCTAACAAAAGCGGAAAATATAACTCAGACCAAAATCAGCCTCTGAGGATATGTCATTAATCTCGAAAAATCCCCTGTTGTACGTTAAAAACCAACTTTCACCGACCTATGTGCGTGCTCCAGGAAAGTCCAATTCTACAACCCGCCCAACCCGCAAAGAGTGAAAAAATACAATTCCAGTCACACAATACAAATGAATAATGACAAAAGCAAAAATGAAATCGATTTTTTTTTGGAAAATCCATCAAATGGAAAGTGAAAAAAAAAAGAAAAGAATGAGGTTACAAACAGTGATGATATCGAATGATCGAATTAAAAAATTTACACGAATTAGGCCCGAATTACACATTCAAAGACCAGTATTTAGGATGAACCCTTACATTCGAATGTGAATAAATTAAATTTAAAAAAAAAAAATGAATATATAAGTGCTAAAAAAAGAAAATTTCGGTCTGAAAACAAGCAGTGAAATAATCAGTAAAATTTTCTACTTCTAAAATATGAGCAGCTGCTGGCTGAGTTGCTGTTCATTCACGATCACCTTCTTTCCAGCGCTTCAATTTCAATAACGTAACAATCGAGATGGCCACAGCAAATGTGCTGAACTGAAGAAATACACGGAATCTGGAAAAAAAAAACATGAAATTTGCGGTTTAGAACAAAACTTACGGTCATTACTGCTTATCTTTCATAACACTTTCTTCACTACTAACATTCATGCATTACACAATTAATTTAACCCTGAACTTCACTAACTTCAATTATTACAACTGTCGTACTGACGAAGTCCAATTCTGGTAATGGTAAGAAATGTATATGACTTAATGGACCGAAATACTTCCTACCATTATATTAATCTCACAAATTTTTAAATTTCCATTTCTTACCTTCCTTTTCCTTTTTTTTCCCCTTATCTTCCACAACACTTTCTTTACTACTAACGGGCATTCATTACACAATTAATTTAATTCTAACCTTCACTAACTTCAATTACCACAATTGTCGTACTGACGAGGTCCAATTGTGGGAATGGTAAGAAATGTATACGACTTAATGGACCAAAACATTCTTACCATTATAATAATCTCATAGATTTTTTTAATTTTCATTTCTTATTTTCCTTTTCCTTTTTTTTCTCTTTATCCCATTCTTTCCTATCATAATTTTCTATTACTCAGAAAAATGACGAAAAGAAAGGCGATCCGTGTACTTAACACGATGAGATGGTGGGTGGGGTGGGGAGGAAGGATAAGAAGGCCATGGTAGGAGAAAAACGTGAAAAATTAAGTCAAATACGAACCCAGCAGATGCAAAAAAAAGCATCATTCCTCGAAAACCTCAAAAGTGAGGTTCGGCGCCTCATTTTGTGAACTGGATATGTTAACAACTTGAAAATCCACACTTCTACTCCAAGATAAAGAGGTTCCGCAACGTGATGTGAGTTCTGTTCAAGCCGACTGTAGCAACCAGGTTGACCGTGGAGGCCTAGATGGCGAAAATACAATAGATTTGTGCATGAAAGAACAATATGAGAAAAAAGGCAGGGGTGAGGAAACACGTTTGGTCCACATTAAGTCATATACGTCTTAACTCAACACCGCTCGACAGGACCTCGTCAGTATGACGGATGCAGTGCTTAATGGAAAAAGAAAAGAGAACCGAATTCGAGATTTTACTTAAAATGAAGGTAAGAGTGAGATAAGGCGTTTCGGTCCATTAAGTCATACACGTCTTAACTCAACACCGCCACAGGACTTCGTTTAAGTCCAACTGATGTGCTGGCAAATTATTTCAAGATCTGAAAGAACTATGCAAATAAATGGCGATCGCCACCTGTGCTGAGCAAATGACATTCTTTCCGAATGAGGCTCCAGATAACCAATCAGCGCAACCCATGGTATAATAGTTCCCAAAAGAATGGCCGGATGCTTAAACCAGTCATGCCGTCTCGTCAGCACCTTATATCGTAACTGAAAATGAATTCACACATTTTTAGAACAGAACATAGCAAAAAAACCTAGACAGACACATACATACACATACGCAGACGCACAGACTCGCGCACACACACACACACACACACACACACACACACAACTGTAGGGTCTTCGCATCGCACCTCAACCCAGAAACGAGTGCATTTCGCGCTACTAAGCCAAGTTCTGGTAATCCGCATGTTACATATAGCAACGCAGTGGCGCCGGAGTAGGGGGGGGGGGGCAAGGGGGTTAAAATATTCTTGCAAATAACCCAAAAACAAAGCATTCATTGTTTAAACAATTCATTGCAGCTGTTCTCAGATTAAAGAAAAAGGTAGAAAATAATGAAATAGGAAAAAAAGGGAAGAAAAACGAAGGGGAAAAAAGGAATGGGAATTTTGGAAATGTTTGTAATAGGTAAGAAATGTTTCGGTCCATTCAGTCGTATACATTTCAGACCACATGTTAAGCAATTTTACCTCGGCCTGGGAAGATGCCGGCGATTGTTCTTTGGCCTGAAAAAAAAATCATTAAATTACTCATGGCATAAATTGTAAGAAATAAATTCACTTAACCGCAAAGTAGAACTCTTTTGTTTAGAAGTATATTTGTTGACTCAAAAATTATACGAGTGCAGAAATGAGGTAAAGCATCGGGAAGGGCGAGGGAGAGGGGCAAAAGCTATCGTCAAAACAGAGAAAATCCTGCAGTTCAGATAAGGAATCAAAATAAGCCGGGCAAAG